CAAAATTCGCTGGACTGGCCAATATCTGCCCCCCCCCCGCTGAAAGGAGTTGAGTTTCTAGGCTGCATTAGGAGACAAGGCCTTCATTATGTTTAGATTGGAAAAGACGCATAATCTAAAATTTGATTTTAGATAGTGATAATTTTGGGTGATATTTTTATTGGGGACAATTAGAACTGAATTAATAGACATGTTTTTAACTCGGGTTTTACTTTTAAGGCTTTCAGATTGCAACTGAGGAGGCTCCAAGCAGCAACTAGGTGCTTTGGATCATTCACACAAAAATGAAGAGGCATATATAAACCATAAAACCCTTTATAAGAAATAAGAATTTATTTAGTAATGATTATATTAACTAAACTTATATATAAAAAGATATTGAAACTTGAATATATTCATGAAGCAAAAATTAAACATCTGTACTGCCCCTTTTCTTTAGTTTACAGTCACAGCAAACCAAAGTATGACATGTTTAAGAGAATTAAGATCTAAGTGTTTGTCATCTTATCACTTCTGAAGATAAGATATACTTTTTTGCTCTTTGGTCATACAAGATCTGAGTATTTAAGAGGGTTTTAAAAGAGCTGAGTTCAAGAGCAGAAAATGGCGAACAAGAGGAAGAGGCAAGAAAGCATGGACAGACTGGGATTGAAGAGAGTTGAGAATGCTGGTTGTGGTAGATGGTCTCTGATTTGCTTTTCAAATACACTCACCACCCTTCTCTACCTATGATTCCAGGAGGCTGACTTTTATTTTTATTGTGTTTTTTTTTTTAATTTTTATTTTTTATTTATTTTTAGTAAGTTGCCTCTTCATTAAATGCTATTCCATCATCTTTTCCAAGTGCATCATTAATTTTCAGCCAGGACTCTGACTGATACAGTTGGTAGTGGGGAATGGGGAAACTTCAAGTTAGTATTAGAGTGTGATAAAGTACTGGAGAGAGAGATAGGAAGAGAAGGTTTTCAAAGTTTTATACACCATTCTATGAATGTAACATGACTTCTTTATGTGAGTGACTCTAATAAATTCTTAAATTGCTTAATTATTATGGCTGGGTTCCTGTTTCTTTGCATGCACATCCAAGATAGGACGTGGCTATGAGATATATGTCTAGGATTTACATGACTAGATAATACTATCAGGATCTATCTGGATTGATTATATGTTATTAAGACATTTCTTTTATGGAATAAGGATCATTCCAACCCAGTGTACCTGTTTAATTTTTTTTGAAATTCAGTGACTTGTTATAGTGTGAAATTCATATGTAATGTCAGATAGGAAAATATTGTTTGACTTTTTAATATTCCTTTTTATTCTCAAACACAAAGTGGGGAAAGCACAATAATTCCATCAAGAACCAATGATTTAGTTCATATTGTTACATTTACATTCATAATTAGATTCAGATTATTTAAGCATCATTCTAAAAGTGGATATGAGACAGATGGCTGTTGTTTGTCCATCACTATAACAGTTTATATGGCTGAGAATTCAGATCTCAATGAAAATTTTCTCTCTCAGCAGAATCTACTACTTTCCTGTGACAAATAGGACAGGTAGAGTTGTCAGACAGCAATCGATCAATGCAGTGGACATAATATTCTTGGGAGCAAGGTGGGATGCAAAGCTTGTTACCTTCTAGGTACTCTAATGCAAATGATACAGAATTTTTCTTTTAATTTATTTTATTGTTGAGAGTATTAGAGATGTCCCTCATTTTTCCCCCTTTGCCCTCATCCACCCATCTCTCACCCCACCCTAGGTCTTCACCTGTCTCTTGTCTGTTTCCATGGGCTGTGCATATATGCATATAGGTTCTTTGATTAATTTCTTGCCACCCTCCCTCCCACTTTTTTAAACTGAGTTTAGCCTTTTTCTAATGATTCAAATGCAATTCTGAAAATATTGCCATTCCATAACTCAATTTAAAAAATAGTTATCTGAGTTCTATGGGTTTTTTAAAAACTATTTATTTTTATTACAGATGTTTCTCCTTTTCCCCCCATTGACTCCCTCCTCCTGTCCCCCACCCCACCCCCAGCATTGTTGTCTATGTCCATTGGTTATGCTTATATGCATAAGTTCTTTTGTTTATCTCTTCCCTTCCTCCACCCCCTTCTCTGAGGTTTGTCAGTCTGAACCCTACTTCCATGTCTCTGTGTCTATTTTGTTCGTCACCTTATTTTGTTCATTATATTCCACAAATAAATTTTTAATTGGATTGTTTGTCTTCCTATTGTTGAGTTGTATGGGTTCTTTATATATTTTGGGGATTAATCCCTTATCAGATGTTTCATTGGCGAATAGTTCTCCCATACAGTGGGTTCCCTTTGCATTTTTTCCACTGATTTTTAGAGAGAGTGGAAGGGAGGGAGACACAGCGAGAGAGAGAAACATTGATGTGAGAGAGACACATGGATTGGTTGCCTCCCACATGACCCCGACCAGAGCCAGGAATCAAATGTGCAACCCAGGTATGTGTCCTTTACTGGGGATCAAACCTGTGTCCCTTTGGTCCATGGGCCGATGCTCTAACCACTGAGCCAAACAAGCCAGGGCTCCCTTTGCATTTTGATGATGGTTTCTTTTGCTGTGCAGAAGCTTTTTAGTTTGATGTAGTCCCATTGTTTATTTTTTTCTTTCTTTCTCTTGCCCTAGGTGATTTATTGGCCAAAATTCTACTGTGTAAGATGTCTAAGATTTTACTGCCTATGTTTTCTTTTAGGATTTATATGGTTTTACAACTTACGTTTAAGTATTTTATCCATTTTGAGTTCATTCTTATATATGGTGTAAGGTAGTGGGCTAGTTTAATTTTTTTTTTTTGCATGTACCTCTCCAATTTTCCCAGCACCATTTATTGAAGAAACTGTCTATATTCCACTGTATGCACTTGCCTGCTTCATCAAATATTAATTGAATATAATGTCTTGGGTTGATTTCTGGGTTCTTTATTATGTTCCATTGTTCTATATGCCTGTTCTTGTGCCAGTACCAGGCTGGTTTGATTAAAATGGCTTTGTAGTATAGTTTGACATCTAGTATTGTGATCCATCCAACCTTGTTCTTTTCTCAAGATTGTGATGGCTATTCGGGGTCTTTTTTGGTTCCATATACATTTTTGGAATATTTGTTCTAGTTCTGTGAAATATACTGTTGATATTATAATAGGAATTGTGTTGAATCTATAGATTGCTTTTGGTAGTATGGACATTTTAATGATATTAATTCTTCCAATCCATGAACATGGCATGTTCTTCCACTTGTTTATATCTTCCTCTATTTCTTTTTTCAGTGTCCTGTTTTTTTTCCAAGTACAGGTCTTTTATCTCTTTGGTTAAGTTTATTCCAAGGTATGCAAATGATACAGACTTTTAATGTATCATTTTCCACAAAAGATCTTACAGCCATGTTGTCAATCTATGCTTTGCTGAGTCCTGTAGGATGGTTATGATTATAATTTAAGAGAAAAAAACTGATCAAGGGAGGCCCAAGAGTCACTTTCATCAAATATTACTGGGGTCATAGATTTACTGTCTCTTCTGGTTTCTGATTATGAGCGGTGATAATATTCTTTTATCACTGCCTTCAGAGAACAGTACGCTAATTTCTGAATTTTCATCACTGGAGCTGGAATTGGACATTGAACTGGAACTGGAACTTGACATGTAACTGGAGTTTGAACTAAAAGTCAATGTGGAATGTGAATAGGAAACACAGCTAGAATTTGAATTGGAACCAAGACTCCTCCTACCATGAAAACTACCTCTCCCATTGGGCGACTGCCCTTTTCATGTTTTGACTTGCTGCTGAGAAACTGCTCTAAATCACTGTCACTCTACATAAAGTTACTTGAGTCACTAAAATCTATCATTGTCTGCCTTAAAGTGCTTTGAATTGCACCAGATGTTGTATCATTTAAACGAGTATTTAAAATTCTATGAATGGGAATTCTGATGGTACTGACATAGGCTCTCATATCTTCATGTTCATAATGTGAAAACATGCTTAATTCTCCCTGTTCACTTTCTTAAGTGACTGTTATTTGGTGTCTCAGATGTTATCTGATTTCTAGCAGTCATGCTGTTTCTCTCAGAATATTCTACAGGATGAATTATTCCTATATCAGAATCAAAGGATATGATTGGATTTATCTGTCTCAGTCCACAAGGTTTACCATCACTGGTTGTGTCTGGAGAAGGCTCTCCCTGAACAGCATTCCTTGGTCCAAAAGTTGCAAAAAGACCCCTATTTTGCAGTTCAAGTCCAGTTATTTGCTGTCTGAATGTATCTTGGTGCCGAGTTCTAAAAAATTCTCTCAGTCTCATTTACCAAAGGCTGCTCAAAAGTCAGAAATGATACACTGTGATGGAGTCTTTGCAAAAGTTTACCAAGTAAAAATGGAGGTGACCCACTTTGAGTTCTTGCTCTGGTTCTACTATGGTCTGGGCTTCTGCTTCTTGCTAATTGCTGACCTCTGTTAGGTGGGACTTCCATTAATGCTCCAATTGTACTTGGTTCTGATCTAGATGGTCTTGATACAGATTGTGGATTTTCCATATGACTTTGACTTTTTTTTTATCCTCGCCTGAGGACATTTTTTTTTCCGATATTTTGTTCAGATAGAGTGGGAGGGAGGGAGAGAGAGAGAGAGAAACATCGGTGTGAAAGGGACACATCGAATGGTTGCCACCCACACGACCCAACCGGGGCCGGGGACAAACTGCCACTGAGGTACGTGCCCTTAGCGGGAACCGAACCCGGGTCTCTCTGGACCACAGGCCAACACTCTAACAACTGAGCAAAACCGGCCAGGGCTGACTGTTTTCTATATTTTCTTCCCTGGGAAGTCTTGTGGATGGTACATATTCATTCTCTGCATATGGATTCTCATTGTTAAGTTTAAAATTTATTTCTGAACTGAATCTGAAATCATTGTGTGGGTTAACCTGGCTCACTTCTCTCTAAGGTTGCACACTTGTCACATTTTCAGTTTATTTGAAAGAGATACACCAGTCTATTAAAGAGTCACTGCTAGACATATCATCTGAAGAGTCTTCTTCATCTGTTAACAAAAAAGGGGGAGATTCAGAAAGGAACTACCAAGATCAGAGCCATCAAAAAATAGCATTCTGAAACTTTGTTTCAAAAATAAACAAAAAGTAGTAACAAATATTCAGATGTAAACAGATTTCACATTTATAGAGTTAAGATTTTGTAAACTACACTATAAATTGACAAGCAAAGGCAGGAACGGCTCTGTTCCATATGAAAAGAGGGAGATAATCCTAGAAAAATTTAGAAAAAAAAAATTTTTTAAAGGAAGTCCATTTTCAATATTTCATCATATACACAGCCTTGTGTACCACTGTGGGAAGAATGTCAAGAGACAACATTTTATTTTCACTTCACTGTGTAATTCTAATTAGACTGCAACATTACTTTTGGGCTTTTGACTTAAATGCTTTTGATGATATATAAAGTTGTTTTAAAATATAAGACTATTATAGCCATTACCCAATTATAAAAAAGGTTTATAGCTTTAAAAGTATTTGAATACTTCTTAATGTTACCAAGATTTTGAACTGACATGAAATTGAAGGTTAGATCAAATAAATGGACCGAACCTAGCATAGTATATATAAGACCATATTCAAGAACCAAACTATTTTAGTATCCTCTTCATCACTTAGTAAAAGTCTATTTCAAACTGGGAGAGAAGCACCAGACCTGAGGTTTGAGCAGGTTTCTCAGCCTTAGCACTATTGACATTTTGGCATTGTACAATTTTGTTTTGGGGAGCTATCCTGTGCATTGTGGGAAGTTTGGCAGCATTCCTAGCCTCTGCCCACTGGATGCCAGTAACACCCACCCCCTACATGTGACAACCAAAAATATATTTAGACATTGTCAAATGCCCCCAGTGAGAACTACTTGATTAGGATGTGAAATATTTATTTTTGCTGGTTGGGAAGTCACATATCTATGTAGAAAAAAATAATTCAGGAAGTAGAAGGAGCTTTTTTTCCTTTTTATTGAATTTATTGGAGTGACACTGGTTAACAAAATTATACAGGTTTCAGGAGCACAATTCTAAATCACATCATCTGTTCACTGTATTGTGTGTTCACCACCCCAAGTCAAGTCTCTATCACCATTTATCATCCCTATACCCTCCTCTACCTCCCCCTGGTAGTCACTATACTGTTGTCTGTGTCCATCAGTTTTTTCTCTCTCATTTTTTCCCCCTTTTTGCTCAATCCCTCCACACACATCATTTAGCCACATCTCCTTGACAGCTGTCAGTCTGCTCTCTATCTACAATCTGTCTCTATTTTGCTTGTTAGTTCACTAGATTACATATATGCATGAAATTATATGGTACTTATATTTCTCTGACTGGCTTATTTCACTTAGCATAATGTTCTTCAGGTCCATCCATGCTGTTGCAAAGGGTAAGATTTCCTTCTTTTTTTAAGGCCAAGTAGTATTCCATTGAGTAAATGTACCACCACTTCTTTATCTATTCATCTACTGATGGACATTTGGGCTGCTTCCAAATCTTCGCTATTGTAAATAACACTACAATGAACATAGGGGTGCATATATTCTTTCAAATTAGTGTTTTGGATTTCTTAGGAATTCCCAGAAGTGGAATGGCTGGATCATAAGACAATTTTATTTTTAATTTTTTGAAGTAACTCCATGCTGCTTTCCAATGGCTGCACCAGTCTGCATTCCTATTAACAGTACATAAGTGTAACCTTTCTCCACATCCTCGCGTGCACTTGTTTGTTGATTTTTTGACAACAGCCATTCTGACAGGTATAAGGTGATATTTCACTGTGCTTTTAATTTACATTTCTCTGATGATTAGTCGCATTGAGCATCATTTCATGTTTATTGGCCATCTGTATGTCCTCTTTGGAGAAGTGTCTATTCAGGTCCTTTGCCCATTCTTTACTGGATTGTTTTTTTTTGTTTTTTTTTTTCTTGGTGTTCAGTTTTATGACTCTTTATAAATTTTAGATATTAACCCCTTATCTGATGTATCGGTGAATAAGTTCTCCCATTTAGTGAGCTGTCTTTTCATTTATGGTATCCTTTGCTGTGGAAAAACTTTTTAGTTTGATGTGTAGTTCCATTTGTTTATTTTTTCTTTTATTTCCCTTGCCTGAGGAGATATATCAGAAAAAATATTGCTATGAGAAACGTCTGAGATTTTACTACCTGTGTTTTCTTAGGATTTTTATGGTTTCAAGTGTAACATTTAAATCTTTAATCCATTTTGAGTTTATTCTTGTGTGCAGTGTAAAAAAGTGGTGTAGTTTCATTTTTTTGCATGTATGTGTCCAATATTCCCAACACCATGTACTGAATAGACAATCTTTACCCCATTGTATGCTCTTGCCTCCTTTGTTAATTATTAATTGGCCATAAAGGAGTGAATTTATTTCTGGGATCTCTATTCTGTTCCATTGATTTATATGTCTATTTTTATGCCAGGACCTTGCTGTTTTGATTACTATTGCCTTATAGTATAGCTCAGTATCAGGTAGCATGATTCCTCCAACTTTGTTCTTCTTTCTCAAGATTGATGTGGCTCTCCTGGGTCTTTTTTTATTTCATATAAATTTTTAGACTGTTTATTCTAGTTCTGTGAAATATGCCATTAGTGTCTTGATAGGAATTGTATTAAATCTATATATTGTTTTGAGTAGTATGGACATTTTAATAATGTTAATTCTTCCTATCCATGAACACAGTATATGCTTTCACTTATTTGTATCTTCTTCAGTTTTTTTTTTTTCGGTACCTTATAATTTTCTGAATACAGGTCTTTTATATCCTTGGTTAAATTTATTCCTAGGTATTTTATTCTTTTTGAAATAGTTGTGAATGGGAGTGTTTCCTTAGTTTTCCTTTCTGATAGCTCATTATTGGTGTATAAAAATGCATCTGATTTCTGGATATTTATTTTGTATCCTGCTACTGTACTGAATTCATTTATCTGTTCTTGTAGTAACCAGATAGCTCAGTTGGCTCAAGTGTTGGCATCCTGTTACATCAAGAAGGAACTTTCAATTGAGGTGGAAAACCAAGTGAAATATGTATAGGGTATTTCAGACTCTTTCCCAATTAAAAAACTCAAATGTGAATCAGGAAAAATATGTACCTCGACATTCTCACCAAAAAGACAAGTAAGTGCCAGCTCTTTTTTTTTTTTTTTTATGAGAAATTTGGTTACTTAGCACCAAATTAATTTGTGCCACTCTGTGTCATCTCTAGCTGACAATTACTGTCATGAAGTTCCTTATTCATCCCATCTTATTTCCCTCACAAGCAAAATATACCTGTAGTTTTCCAGTGGGCTTTTTGTTGTTAATCCTTACCCAACGATATATTTTCCATTCATTCTTAGTGAGAGTGGAAGAGAGGGAGGAAGGTCCCGGGGGGGGGAGGGGAGAGAGAGATTAATGTGAGAGAGACACATCAATTGGTTGCATCCTGCATGTGACCCAACTGGGGCAGGGGATCAAACCTGCAACCCAGGTAATTGCCCTTGACCAGGAATTGAACTCACAAGACTTCAGTGTGTAGGTCAACGCTTTAACCACTGAACCACACTGGCCAGGACTCCAGGGTGCTTTCTTTAATTAGTTGAAGTATTCTCTGTGAATCTTTTCTGTACTTTAACCTGGGTTGCCTATCAAATTGTTATCCATCATAACCTTGTGATCTTCATTCAGGCTATTTACAAAATGATAGATATCCTCTTCCCGAACCTATCTGTCCATCTGACTTCTGCTCTGGGTCTGCAGATTCATCTCCTTCATCTCCAGAATCTGAGTTTTCCATCTTGATGAACAGATGGAAAATTGTTTGACTTTTACAAAATGGTGTTGAGATATAAACAAATACTTTGTGCCTCAGTGTTGGGATACGACTCAGTCAAATCCACCTCTGCTTATGTTTCTTTTGCCTCTCCTGCCACCATAGTTCTGCAGCTTCTGCTGAGTCAACTTTCATACTGGTCTTTATATCAAGCATGCTAGTCATTGTTGCCTAGGCAACCAAGATCTTCCCCGTGGTTACCAAATAGGGACCACATTCAGGTTAGGTTTCAATTAATTGCAAACTAGCAAATGTTAATGAGGGCTTATTGTATACCAAGCACAGCCCTTCATCACCTTTAATCTGCTAGTCTATTCTTAGGCTTTTAGAAGACCTTTTGAGGCTCTGATATAGTCTAGTTATTTGTATGTTAAATTACAGAAACCAATTGCGGCTAGTTACAGTATACATGACTGCCTTCTTCAATATACCATGCCAAAGTCATCCTAGTTAAATGCAAAAATTCTCATTTTCAGGTGCCCAGGAACCTCTGTCTTTTTTCTCATAATTCCATAAACTATAGACACTCTCTAAGAAAGCTCACAATTTTTGGTAATTCACCTGGACCATAGCTGAGTCTGTTTAAAGAGTTTACTCTTTGAACTCTTAATGGCTTCATCTTGTATTGTACAAGCTCTGAAAGTTCTGTTTTAAAAAATAAATAAATAAAATACATTATTTCACTTAGGATAACACTTTCAGAAAAAGACAAATACCACATGATCTCACTTATATACGGAATATAATGAACATAACAGTCTGAGGAATACAGTATACCCAGAAACATGGGAGTAGGGCACAGACTGACATCCCTCAGAAGAGGGGGTGGGGAGTGGGAAGAGATAAACCACAGAACTTATATGCATGTATGCATAACCAATGGACATAGACAACAAAGGCGGGGACGGGGCGGGGGGGGGATAGGGAGGAGGGTGTCAATGGGGTAAAAAAGGAGAAACATCTGTAGCAAAAAATAAATAAATAAATAAGAAAAAAAATACATTAGTTACAAATTAGTCAGCTTTTCTCTCACCCAGAGAATCCCTTAAGGAATTCTCCACAAATGTATCCAGTTTTATTTTTTTCCTTTCTCATAAGTATTATTAATTAAACAAAACTAGCCAGAACATCACAGGCACTTTTTAAACAGATCCACAACAGTTATTTTGC